GACATACGAGTCATCAAATTAAAAATGAAAACAAAATGATGAATTACCTGTAATATGTGCAAACTACTCACTTTAATCTGAAAATGACAAAACGGACAAAGTAGATGAAAGTGAAAGGAACTTTATAAACAGTCTCATCATGATGCACTGACAATCTGTAATCCTTTACAAAAATACACTGTGTTTGGTTTGGTTGTTAAAAGAAGGATTTTACTGCCTATCCTGAGGAGTCGGTCAGCCTGCATAGCAGCTAAATGTGAACTCGTAGCTTTACACTGATGCTGAGTGAAGACGTGGTGCAGCCACTGATTCAGAGCTGCTTCTGAGGGCTTTTGGTTTCTGAGCCTTATGTCCATGCCAAAGATGTAACTACGGTAACGTGCACTACGATCAGGGCGTCTAACCTCCTGTGTGATGGACATACAGCTATAACAAATGTATTCAGTCATATGAAGACGACAAAGTGAACATTTGCAGCACTGGAAACGACTTTTTGTTCTAAAATCAGTCAGTCTGGAGAATTTTGAGGATTTCTTTGTTTACTATTGTTGATGCTTTTGTAAACCCGACGTCATGTTTTTATGGATGCAAAAACAAACAAACACTGTAACTTTATCGATGAACTGTTTCTCCGTGTTAGCATTAGAGTGTGTGTTGTCGGTCACGCTAACTTTATTTGTTGTACAGATTGAGGGTGCGACCAGTCGTCCAGTGCTTTTTTTTTTCTTTGTTTTTGTTTTGTTTGTTTGTTTTACGACTATTTATTTACAGCGTGTTGTTTGTACAGAAGATGTAACCCTGAACTACATATAATCTTGTGTATTCACAATAATCTGACTTGCACTGTTCTGATTTTTTTGTAGCATACGGTTTAAGTGTCATAGGAAGTTACCACCTATCATATTCAGTACTTCTTTTTATTTTTTAAACAGGTGATGATGAGAAAATTTAACAAAATTCTTAGGATTCAGGTTTCAGAACTGGATTTTTGGCAGAAAATTGTACCAAAAAAAATATTTGCACATGTTCTAAAAGGTGGAAATGGGACTGTCCATAATCGTGTGGTGTAATAACAGTCTCTGGATATATTGCAGTACCTTGAATCGGGCGTTTTTTATAAAGATTGCAGTACTTTGAGCAAAAAGCAGATTGTATCATTGTGACATCTCATTATCTTGAGTCTAATTTAGCAACTTTTCTCGTTCAGTTTTGAATCTGCTCTCTCAGTTTTGATGTTTAACTTACCCGTGTGTTTGTTAGCACTGATGTTTGTTTAATGAAGACTTTACCCTTCCTCTTGTAAGTGGTTCAGAGCTGTAGAGCTGCCCTCCACTGTGCTTTTGTTGCTGTGCTCCATGTACAGGGGAACTTTTTTTTGTTTTTGCATTTTAGCAAGTGCTTTTATAAGGGGAAGTGCTTGTTCATACTGGTTTTTAAAAGACTTTTTAAAACTAATAAACATTTTTAAGTACATTACTGTAACAAAGTGTGTGTGTGTTGTTTTGTTTTTACATCTGCCTGCACGAAAGTAGAAAACGTTGAGAGACCGTGTTACATAAAAGCCATTTTGGTCATTACAAACATCTGGAGGTTGTTTGGAACATGTAATGAGAAGAATGTCTTCGATAACAAATATTGCATTGTGTTGGATTCCCTTCTTGTTAGGACAAACTGAATCACTATAAACACTGCAGCAGCATAACAAATGTTGGACAAAATCATCGACTTCATCTTCAGTCATCATATAAAACATTAACAAGGACTGAAAT